ACAAAAATCAGATCCAACCTGATCATTCTTATCAGTCACCAAAGTGAAGTGAAAATATGTTGTCAAATTTCAACCTCTTAGATGAAGGAGCCAGCAAACATGGTGCTGCCTCCATGCAATTAGGTGGCTCCATTTTTAAAATACCCATCATAATGGCTCAGGGGAATCCCCATTTTGGTTGATGCTGCTTTTCTCTGAAAAAAAAAAAAAAAAGGTTAACCCCACCCATGGGTCGGCACATCTCTAAAGTCTCAGCCACTTCTAGAGGTCTCTCAGTGACAACTTCTTGCTTACAGTGAAAACCAGGTGTAGGAAGAACAAGGATGGCAGGTGCAGGGGAAAATGATCACCCTCACTACATGGCGGCAAGAACACGAGAGCTACGGATTTCATGGTGGAGGAACACAGGCATTTCTAGATACCGAAACAGCATCTGTAATGACAGACGATTATGTTTGTGATCATCTGAAACCCTGAAACTAAGGCTAACCAAGTCAGGGTTGCCTAAGGGCCACAGACACAGAACTCGGGCCAGTGTCAACATAAGGCTGGTAACTGCGATGACCACAGGCATGAGCAGGAATAAGAACACCCACTGTCTAACGCGCACCCAATACCACAGACCTAATGCCCAAACCCCCACATCTGCCTGGCTTTCACTAAGCCCTGAAATAATAAATTTAAAAGATCATAAATCATCTTTCTTAGGCTGGAGTTTGCATAGGGAAATTCTTAGATGAACCTATTAGTTGAGAACAATCTCAAACCTTTCACCAAAATATGTGGACAGAAATACGTGATCCCAAGAAAACTTGTGTATCTTATTTTTGGTGCATTGTATTGCATTGTATTTATACATGCTTAACTTTCCCATTTGTCAAAGAGATTCATCAGAAGAGTAACAATGTATTGGATATCTTTATATCACCACACCTGTATAGAACCTGACACATAGTAGAAACCCAGTATCTCTTTAATGAATAGATGGATGAATGAAGAATGAACTTTATTGTAGTGCTAATGTTTCATCTTGATATTAAATACGCATTACTTTCTTTTTCCTTCAAAGATACAGAGAGATCTGACTCCAAAATAAGAGACATGATTTGTACTTATGATATTTTAGCCTAAGATCTAACATATGATACCAAGTATATTGAGTGAGGAAAAAACAAAAAGAAACAGAATCACTACCTGCCAAAATATACCATCTATGAATAAAGAATATCATCCCATCTCACCACAGTAAATATTTCAGCCTCTCTTACCTGTTCTCCTAGATGGCTTTCCGCTTGCAGAAGAATATAATAAATGATAGGAAGTTAAATGAGGTCCCCAAAGAATCTAAACTAGCTCTTAGCAACACATGCCTCAATAAGGTCTTGAGGAGCGTTATAAGAGAGAAACAGTAGATTCTCTCCAAACAACTTTCCAAACAACTCAATTCACAGAGTCAGTACTTTCTGGATACAATGACCACTGATACCAAAGGAAACGTACATGTGACAAGAACATTATGGAATAAGCCATAAGGGACGCTAAGGTTATGAACCCAAAGAAAATTATACAATAGGAAGACTGTATTGCTTTCAGTTCAGAGCAGGTAAAGTAGGTTCAGGGTAAAACAAAAAACCCAACTTTAAATCAAAGAATCCAGTAAAATGAATCACCTCTTTGGAGATTCAGATTTTACTGCTAAGACAGACCAGGAATATTAGCCAAGTAAAGATAAGAGACTGCCAAGGAAAAGTAATATCCAGTAAAAGCACAGAGGAAAAAATCGTATTTTACTTTTCCTTCCCATATTGAAATTTTTATAGAACGTTAAAAAGCATGTTGGAGGAAATTTACTTTTTTTCCTTTAATTATATGATTCTGGAAAGACACAGTCACTGTCAGCAGTATCTGGAAGTATTACATTAGAAAAGTCTGTACTAGAAATTTTGAAAGAAAGTTTTAAAATGTCTGGAGAGTTTGGCTGTGGATACAGAAAGAAAGGATCATTTTTGCTCTACTGCTGAATTATTTATCAAACTATCATGATATCAACGGTGTATATGACAGATAATACGAACCAAACATGTTAAATGACATGTTCACATTTCTATGCTCATTGACCTCTGGAGTATTTGGAAAAAATAGTGTAAGAATAATTCTTGATTGCTCTAATTCTCCCATTAATATTCAATAGCAACAACCACATAGTTCATGGTCCTGTCTTTCCACACATGTAATTATCTATTTCTATGTGGACGCGAATTAGTAGAGATTGATTGCTTTATTGTTCACATCAACAATGTTAACCAAACATGTTTGAAATGCCGGCCCTAAACTCAACACAAATTTCAACCCAGCTACACTAATCAAGCCTGACTACATGAATTATGCAAAATATAAAACTGAAACATGCTTTTACATTAAATAACTGAAGTTCACACTGTCTATAACCTATAGTATCAACAGAGTAAACCTAAAAATAATCCTAAATATTTTGTGTGGTTTTAATCTTGGGAGAAAGCAAGAGAAGTTTTCACATGGCTATCATAAAAATAAATGTCAGCAGCATGTAAGCAAATGAGACCAGACTCAGTATATGTGTAATTCTCTTTGTTGTTAACAAAGATTAACCTAGGTTAGATCTCTTGGGTTAGTGATAATAAGAGATGGTAAAAGCAGTAACACAAAATAGGAATAGAAAAGAAGAATAAAAATGGGAACAAATCAATAAAATTCCTACGGAGTGATTTAGAAGACTAACATTTTCTCAGCAGCAAATTAGATTATAATCTTGACAAACTTTTGGTTGTGTTTTTTAGTATCTTTTCTTAGAACATTAAAATTTTATAAATAAATTTATTTACTAATATGTTATTTAAAAAGTGAATATTGTCATCTCTCTTTCATAATAGAAAAAAAACTTCTATGTGGAGATTTCTCTGAGCATCTACTCTAGACCTGGGTCTAAATAAAGGAGAAGAAAGCCAAAAAAGAAAAAAAAATCTGGGTCTTGAGACGATTGTTTTCTATTAAATGGTCATATAAACACGTCTGACTTACCTTTATTATTGGTAGCATCAGGCACATTCCCTGCACATCTTTTTCTTCAAAATCCTTTGATCTAAGAACAAATTTAGATAGTATTTGAAACTAGTATTATTACAGATACAAGCCATTTTTTCTTGGTTTCTGTGATTCTTTTTAGTATTGCTGAATGAACATTAGTAATGTCTATGTCTTAAGGAGGCTGAATTTGAATAGAAAATTACTAGCTTTATTATAATCACTTATGGACTTTTAAATTATGCTGTCAATATTTTCAATAATATATTTCACTCGTTTTAAATGTTTGGTTAGATAACCACCTCCTTTCTCCTCTTGCTCCAGCTACTGTTAATTCAATATAATCCGTGAATAGAGTGTCATGCTTCTCCCAAAACAAGCAAGAATTAAAGTCACAATCCATAGCAAAGGCTCATTATTACTGGCTTGTTGGAATTAATCACATTTAAGGCAGCAATGTAACCTGATAACACTCAACCTAATTGTCTCAATCATTCTGCTCTCTTCATACCAAAGCTACTTTCCCAAAAACTGCTATAAATCTGAACCGATGACCCGAGTTCTGTCTGTAGGCTGACATCCACTGATATTTTTATGCAGAGAGAACACCACAGGGTCATTTTGCTACATTTACACTTAGTTGGTTCCAAGTGAAAAGTTTCCCCTCAATACAACTTCACCAGCAAAATATACCTGACATAGATTAGTACTGATATAATTGTCAAGGAAATTAAGTATCTTTACATGTGTAAGTAAAAGCTGTATTTTTCCAATTTGATTTCTCCGTTTATATCTTTAAAAATGAAAGACTCTGGACTGTCCCTTGAACTGTACATTTTAAGTGTCTTGTATTAAATACTATTAATGGAAGAATAACTAATATAACAATTCTTAAGAATTAAATTTACATATTTTGGCAAAAAAGATCTGGACTTCATGTCTAAAGCCTTAAGGTTGAGCTCTTTTCACCAAGAGACCCATGCTGGCTCAGTTTCTACATTTTTTAAGTGAGTAGGTTGAACCAGATGTCTCTGAAATTCCCTCCAACATCCTAAGTTCATTTAAGACTTTTGATGTGAAGTAATGATTTTTTTAGAGATGGATGATGATAAACTCCTCCCTTGAGTCCCTCTTTAGGAGAGCTTTCTTTATGTAGTTAAGTCGTATCATTTGTTGTGGGAACAAAGAAATAGTGTACATAGAACAATTGATAACCAAAACATTTTGATTCTAATGAAAGGGAATTGAAGATTAAACTCTCATGTAAAGATCCAGGTTGTAAAACAAAGTATCTCAGTCATTATAGAGCTCTTATAAACTGTTCTTCCTCTCTCTTGGACTTCACAATTGATGACAATCTGAGATCTGGCAAAGTTCTGGGGCATGTTACTGAAACACCAAGGGTTTGGTCTAGGTCCTGCTGCTCAACCACACAGAAAGCCAACCACTGAGATGACATGTATTGGCAGGAAAGAAGACTTTAATTGGATGGGCAGCCAAGGAGAGAGGAGCTCAGTCTCAAATCCGTCTCCCTGACTGACTAAAACTAGGGGTTTATATAACAGGGAAGACATGGTTTAAAAGCAGTCATAGACTCCTCCATATGCAATTTAACTGACACAGATACCATACACATTAAAGATGCAATAAAAACAGGCACCAGAACCAAACACATCCTCAAAATGGAATGGGTGCATTCATTTTTCACTGTTATTGTTAATTTCATATGAGTTTGTGTATTCAGAATACTTGTTAAATTAAAAAAGAGAAAGGTCCTCAGACCAGGATTAGCAGTCAATGGAGGGTAATGACAATGAGATAATATGGAAGTTGAAATTTGAAATTCTGCTGCCAAATGGTCCTGGAAAGTATTCAAGCAATTATCCAGCTAAACCAAAAAGAAAAATAATTTCTACCATACAACCAAAAATAAAGGCAATATGCCCTGGTTTCTCTTCATAATGAACAAATCTTTCACCTTTTACTAAAGATTTCTGTAGAGAGAAACAATTATGAGTTTATAGCCAAATTTTTTGATGTCCTCCTTAGACAGAGCTAAGAATCAATGAATTGATTAATTAATTAAGGCAATGCTGAGGTAAATGATCCAGATTGCCTTTCATATTAAATTGCCTTCATGAGTATGAAACTCTGCTGTTTGTCCATAACCAAAGACTAATAAAATCATAGGATGTCAGAAGAGAAGGAACTATATAGATCATCTTATTCCACCAGACCATTCCATAGGTAAGAAAGCTGAGAATGGAGCATTTGAATGATTTAAGATGTAGAAGAGAGTCCAACTAGAACCTAAGTCTTTGAACCTTCTAGCTAGTTCATTCCAATTTATACAACATGAGTTAACTAATAGCTCATAAGGAAGAAATGTTAACACTGAGGGAACAAAAGTTATGTTGAAAAACAAAAGAAAAAAATATGGTTGCTTTATTTATATCGTTTGTTGTCACTTTGAAACCACTGTGTTAAATACACTTAATGCAAAGTATAATGCCACAAAGAAATGCGATAATGCTGACTGTTCTAAAAATGCTAATCTTGAAATGCAGACTTTTTGAGGACTGTTTTTCCATGTTCACTGATATTTTATATCCATTCTTTAAAACTCAACTGACAAGAAACATAAAATCTTTAATGTCTGGAATTCTGATTTTTACATTTTAGTAACATTTATTATAAATATTCAATTAAAATGAATTATCTTTATTTAAAAACCACATCTTTAGAACAGCTATAAATAAGTAGACAAACCAAGGCACTTATTTTTAACTCACCCTAAATTTCCCAATCTCCCTAGGCTTTTAAAGAGAGTATGGAGAAAGTGAGGAAATCTGTGTCATTGTGCATGTGACCTCTAAACTCTGTATGATGCAGCCTCAGATTTTTGATAATGCCTATTTCAATCCTAAATGCACTTAAAAATGAATGATCAGACTGTCTGAAGAATAATTGTTATGCCCAACTATTGTTAAAATTTTTAAATTTGATGTTGCCCAGGAGATATCAGAGACAGTAGAACCTTCCAGCTGGCTCACCCACCCTGTAGAACACGGAGGTGTTCTTATCACACTTGTCTGTGAATCTTCACCGAGGTGGGGAGGGGACTTGGGATCTTCCACTATCAAATCTGGAAAGCTCATCAATCTTATTATCACCCTTATTTTAGCAAGAAGAGAACATTCACAATTTCATAGCTAATGAGTAATAGCCCAATGGCTAAGATCAAGGCCTTCCGTCTCCCAGGACATATTCAGCCTTTTCTCAATACATCTCATTCTCATACTTTAAAAATATAAAGTCTTATAAGCTGGGCAATACTTTTCCAATAAAGACAAATTTTTTATATTTTTTATTTCATAGAAAATCTGAGAAAATCAGACACAAAATTTTTTTTGTAAAATACATTTTCGTGCCGTAGAAAAATTTAACATAAAAATCTACTCTGATTAATGATACCTGGCTACGTTTATCATACTGTGGCTAAAGCCTTGGACTTTACATAGAAAAGCTGTAAATGTGGATATTTAAAGGAAATGTCTGTTCACACTTTAAAATATCTTCTTTTAACTAGAATTCAACCAAGGACTAGCTGGAGCAGTTAATGGAATATACTGTACTTTATTTCCAGCATTGAAGCTTTTTTCTTACTGAGGTTTCCATCTCTGTTCCTCTCCTTTGGTTCTGTTTCTTAGTTTATCCTCCTCAATAACTCCCTCACTCAGTTTTAAGATTTTTTTCCCCATCATCCAACTTCCTATCTCTCTACCTCCTCGTCTTCCCATTCTATTGTTGTAATCACACTTCCAAAGAACATTTTCATCTTCCAAGGGTCCTTCCAACAGTCAAATCTTCCTCTTTTGTGAGAATGCTGCCAAAACACTTCCAATTCTTATCACACTGCTCATCCAATTTCCTCCTTACTGCCACCTGTGATCCCTTCACAATTTCTTTCCTGGACACAAGCTACTACTTCCCATGCAAACTGCCTTCAGCCTGGACAAGCAACAACCGAACGAACAAACCGACTCAAACATGTGTCTGCAGAGCTAAGACATCAGCCATGTCAGGAAACAGAGTGAGTCAGAAAACGGTCTGGATTGCTGACTTACAGTAGGTGCTTGACAGGACTGTTTGTGAGTACCTAAAAGGTATCAAGCACACAGTTCTGACAACAATTCTGTAAATAGAAATTTTCTCCATGTCACAGTTGAGAAAACTGAGGCCCAAAGGTCCTCAGAATATAATTTTGGCCAGTCTATGTATTTATTTTTATTTTTGAGATGGAGTCTTGTTGTCACCCAGGCTGGAGTACAGTGGCACGATCTTAGCTCACTATAACCTGTGCCTCCCAAGTTCAAGCGATTCTCTTGTCTCAGCCTCCTGAGTAGCTGGGATTACAGGCACATGCCACCATGCCCAGTTAATTTTTGTATTTTTAATAGAGATGGGGTTTTGCCATGTTGCCCAGGCTGCTCTCAAACTCCTCAACTCAAGAGATCTACCCACCTCAGCTTCCCAAAGTGCTAGAATTACAGGTGCGAGCCACTTCACCTGGCCTGGCCAGTCTCTTTAAATGGAGCTAGCTCACCACTGATAATTATGAAAGAGTTGTATAGTATTTCACTTTAGAGTTAATGTCTCCACAAGCAATGTTAGTCAGGACCACCTCCTGCCATCCACAAGGACACTCTGCCCCTCCTCCTCCTGTCTCTCCTCTCTGATTCTCTGACCTCCACTCCAGATATTCACCAAGGGCTCTCTTGTCTATTAACCTTTTTTGGCTGGACCACTTGAGACATTCTTTCATAGGAAAGTGATGCTATTATTCATACCCTGCCCTTAAAGATAGGTTAACTGAGAAATTGTGAAACCGGCCTCCCTGTCAACTATTAAGTGTTGTAACTGGAATTAAAACCCAGTGGGATGAATGGAACACACAACCTAACACCAAAATTTCGTATTCTCTCAACTACTCCATGCAACAGTTATTCACATCAATTTCTTTTTATATAACTACAGAAATTACCTTTTGAGGTTTTATTTAAAGAAATTAAGATCCGTAGCAATTACTGTATTAAGAATTCGAGTAATAATAGTTAACATTTTATGTAATAAGTAACAAGCATGAGCTAGGTGTCTTACCAATATGTCATGTAATCCTTATAAAAATTACAACGTAGTTAGTTCCATCATATGTCACTTAACAATGGGATATTTTCTGAGAAATGTGACCTTACGTGTTTCATTGTGTGAACATAATAGAGTATATCTACACAACCTAGATAGTATGCCCTCCAACACTCTTAGACTATGCAGCATAGCCTATTGGTCCTAGGCTACAAACCTCTACCACCCATTACTGTACTGAATACTATAGGCAACTGTAATGATAGGTAAATATGTGTCCAAACATTAAAAAGTACAGAAAAAATGCCATATTATAATCTTAAGAAACCAAGGTCATATATTTGATCTGTCATTGACTGGAATGCCATTAATTGGTGTATGACAGTATTATTTTTATATTATGAATGACTATTTTTTGCCTTTATTTTCTTAATTTATATAAGCCTCACTATTAAAGAAATATAACTCTGACAAGATCTCTTTAAAGACAACATGCAGAATCTCAAAAGACATAGAATCTTCAAGAAGTGTTGAAGATACAAAAATCTTCTAACACTTTACATGTCTTAGAGTATAAACGTAAAACAAAAGGTAAGTGGAACTTAAAACACATTCATTCACAATTACGATGTTGCAGTGTGTCCATCCTGAATCTTTAGTACCATGTGGTACTAAATTCACAATTCTTTTGAATAATTATATTCAATACTTATATTTTTTCGCTGTTATGAAAAATGACAACTACCTACCACAAATGTGCAGGTAAGCTGGCTGAAGGAGATGGTGTGTTCCGCATTTATTACCAATGAGTTCAAATATTTCTATCCTCCCTAAAATCATGGTTATCAACTTTAAGTTTTTAAAATAGAACAGGGTTTTTAATTTTACCAGATGAGTTCAAATTATTTCTAGCCTCCCTAAAATTATGGTTATCCACTTTTAAGTTTTAGAAACAGAACAGGGACTTTATGAAAACAAAATATTTGAATGAGCATTAAAAACATTGTTCATATTTATACATCCACAACTCACACTGCCTTCAATATAGACTAGATTACACTAAGGGCTCACCTTACAGCTGTTTCAACACAGGCTGAGTGAAATGTGTTACTCCGGGTAAAGGGAATGAATAGAGGTTTTAATATTGACAATCAAAATTGAGACTGAAAGTCACCAAGTAAAGAATGTGCCATAATTTAGAATCAGTCGATGAATAATATATATTTTTTAATTATTGAAAATATAATGGGCTATGAAGATACATGCTGGGTATGTTGCCAGTCTAAAAGCATAACAAAGTGTTTGGCTGAACCACATAAAATTGCCATTTTAAATCAAAATGACCACTTCTCAGCCTTTTGGCTAAGATCAAGTGAAGAATGAAATGTATTGAATACTATATTTACAAAAATAAATTAATGCACAAATAAACACAGGCTGGAGAAGGAAAAGCCTCTTCCTTACAGTGCAATGCCAATCAACAAAGGCAAACAGAATGATGGGGTTAGAAAATCCCCAGTGGATGGGTGAGAGTGTGATGGGGATTGGGATATTCACATGGTTTCAAAGTAACTCTCCACAAATTCCTTATTACTTATGAAGGATAACTTTATAAGAGATTTTTGGAGTGGAGAAACTTGACAGAGACCACGTTAATCATTGATGAAAGTTAACACCGCCAACACTGGGACAAACTAATATATTTTACCTCTTAGTAGGATGATCTGAGAAGGACAAAACAGCACCCATCGCTTCTGTGATATTTTTTCATAAAAAGCATAGTCTGACTCTAATCACAAGGAAACATCAGGCAAACACAAGCTGAGAGTCATTCTGCAAAACAACTCGTCTGAACTCTTGAATAACAAGGTCAAGAGAAACAAAGATAGGCGGAGCAACCAATGTAATTTAA